TCTTGCTCAAAACTGGTATTCATTCTTCTTTTGTAAAGAAATGAAGCCATCTAGTCCTGAGCTTTTCTCAGTTGGAACATTCTTGACTCTGATTCAGTCTCCTTACTAGTATTTGATGTGTTGAGACTTTCTATATTTTTATGATTCAGTCTTGATAGGTTGTATGTTTCTAGGAATTAATCCATTTTTTCTAGTTATTCAGTTTGGATATATAATTGTGCATAGTAGTCTCTTATGATCCTCTGTATCTGTGTTAGTTATAATGGCTCTTCTTTCATTTATAATTCAATTTATTCAAATACTCTCTCTTTTTTCCTGATAAATCTAGCTAAAGAATGAACTATGTTAGCATTTTAAAAAATAAGTTCTTAGTTTCATTGATCTTTCCTATTTTGCTTTTGGTTTTTATTTCACTTATTTCACTGTTATGCTATTTCCTTCCTACTACTAACTTTGGGCTTAGTTTGCTATTTTTTATGTGGTTCCTTGAATTGTATAGTTAAGGTTTTTTTTTTTCTCCTTAATTACTGCTGTAAAATTCCATTTTCAAACTGTTTTTACTGAATTACATAAATTTTGGCTGTGTATCCTTTTTGTCTTTTGTTTCAAGATATATTTTTAATTTATTTTATTGTTTTTTTTGACTCATTAAAGAAGATGTGATTTATGTATACAATGGAATATGACTGATTGTTCTTGATTGTTCAGTGTGTTAGTATATCTTGAATTGTTGACTGGTGGGATTGTCAAGTATACATATCTATTTATGCAAATACCAGTGTTCATAAAAGCAATAGAAACCCAGATCAGATTCAATTCAGTACATAGAAAGCTTCCTTGGGTTCTCTCTAGATATAGGTGGCTTAGTCTACAGTGATTGATAAGTGATTCCCACTCCCTTTTATCAAAGGTCATTTATTTATGATGTGGTTCTCTCTCCATTCACTTCTATCTGTACATCATCTCCTTACCAAAAGCTGCATTTGGAATTTACATTCCCATCAGCTGGCAATGCTGGTCAGCCAGCAAAAATGGTCATGTTGGTGATTCAATCTCCTTTTCTTTTCTCCTGTTTTCTAGCAAACAGAATGAGTGGTGTTTTCTCCATTTACTTTGATTACTTTACTTTAAATTCTGATAATCTGATGGATACAATTTTATACTTCATTACATATGTCTTTGTCAAAAACTTCAAATTTGAAATGGAGTTTGGCATACGATTGACCATGTCCTATCCCACAGAATGGCTTCATGAGGATAAAAGCATCTCCCAAATTACTCTACGCAAAAAAAAAAAGTTTCATCTTAAAGTTTCCCTGGGACGATGTTCTCAGAGTGACATTTCTGGAGCAGAAGCATCAACATCTATGTAAATACAGAGCCCTAAGTGAGATGTATGGGAGCAGAACTGGGGAGGTGGGACCCAACTTTCAGAGCTATAACAAGCCCTCCAGATGATTCTGGTTCAAGCCAAATCTGAGAATTTCTGTATTAGAATATCAGAGACAATTCTAATACAAACAGCATACAATAAATAAGATAAATTAATGGAGTTAAATTTAAATCATTATAGTAAGTGGGAAATGTCAGTACTTACCAGAGTCTAGGGAAAAGAAGATCGTGACTTATTCATTCATTTAAAGATATCTATTACACATCTGTGATGTTTAAGTCACTGGGGCTACATGCTAACTCTATAGATGTGACAAAAGCTATACACTTCAAGATTACAATATAAAACAAATGGAGAATAACAACACTAAACACAAAAACCACACAAGAAATATATAATTACACATTTTTTAATTTTATATAAAAATACTCTATATAAAAAGTATAGGTTGCTATGAAAGAGTTTAAAAGAAAGACGTAATTTAGACTCAGGGATCAGAGAAAATCATTCTGAGGAATTTATACCTTTTTAAATGACCTAAAAAATAACCCCAAACTTCCAGACAATAGTGGTAAGGTGATGGAGGAAAGGAGTATTCCAGACCATAAGAACAGAAAAACATGTGAAAAGCCCCTCCGTAGGGAAGATGTTCATCTGTTCAGAAAAACCAGAGTCAGAACTGTGAGGCACTACCTAGATGTCCCCCTCAGAATGGAGGCACAAGCCTGCGCCCCTTGCCTCAATATGGGATCACTCTCAAGGACCTTTCAAGTTGTAGAGCTCCCTGTGTGACCAACCTAGACTTTGGCTTTAAATGAATCCCTGTTCAACTTCTTTCGCCTAACTTTTTGCTTCCTTTACTTCCTTTCAGCTCCAATAAACCTCTGAAGCACATGTCTCTGTCTCCAGAGTCTATTTCCAGGAAACCTGACCCAAGACAGGAAAAAGTTTCTTTTTACCAGAGGGTGGTTAGAAAGGGTTAGAGCAGTGGGAGATGTGGGTGCAGACAGGCAAAGACAGATGCAAGTCCATACTTAATGCATTTTGTTCTAAGTGGAATAGAAGAGGCCATTTTGAAGGGTTTTTAAGAGGACTTACCAAATATGATCTAAAATTATCACTTTGGACACTGTATGGAAATAAAATGGGCAAAGCTTTTTCTCCCACATATGGATGGAAAATAAAGGAATTGGCACTCCCTTCCTGTCATGAAGATATTATAATTTTAACACCGTGTGGTCCTTCATACTTAGACTTCTCAGTCATTGCCTTTCTTAGAACAAGAATCATATTATTTCATAAATGAGGTTTCACATTCCTTGGGAAAAAAGCTCAAATTTTCTAACTCTGAATTCTCAGGAGCTATTTTTATTTTATTTTATTTATTTATTTAAGAGAGACTGCACACAAGTGAGCAGAGGAGGCCGAGGGAGAGGAAAAAGCAGACTCCCTCCTGAGCAGGGAGCCTGATATGGGACTAGATCCCAGGATCCTGGAATCAGGACCTGAGCCAAAGTCAGGCGCTTAACCAACTGAACCACACAGGTGCCCCTGATTTCTCAGGAGCTATTATCACACTTCTGAAAAAATAGCAAATGCTTGTTACTAAAGTTAAAATAAAAGTTGCTTTGGGCACATGAGTGGCCAGGAAGGCATTGGCTCTCTCCAGGATGAGGATCTTCCCTCATCATCTGAGAGTTCACTGCAGCTGCCTGGAGTCAGTTCCTTAGCTGTGGGAAGCATAAGGACTGGATGTATCAACACTCTAAGAATAGATTTGTCTCATGAGAGCAGGCTCATATTAAGCAGGCCCCCAGAGACAGACGTTTAATGCCTGAACTTAAAGGTAAATCAGCACATTTTCTCCCCTTCAGCATGCTGTACTAAAGGCCCAAATATGACTAAGATGCTATCTGTACATGTGCCAGTCTACAAGTCAAATTATAATCAGAAATGTGTTTGGTAAGCACAGAATCAGAGAAAAGGAAAGTCACTGTGATCTGAATGTGTAAAAGCATCATTCTACTGAGATAACCTGATGCATTCATATCCAAAATATGGATTTTTCCACTTATTAAGACCAGACAACAAATATCTTGGTGCTTACCTAAAAATGCGCAAAATATGTTTCCTGATGTTTCCAGATTCAAGCAGAGTTCTCATTAAAGAAATACACTTTTTCTTAATTATGTTAATTACTTTAATGAGGTTTTAGTCAATTCTTGCTAGAGTAATTTCAAGCCTTTAGAATGATTCGCCCCTATCTCTAACATGACTCTGTTTATGATAATTTAATAATGTAGCTCAAGATGTTTATATTATTTCTGTCATTTCAGGGAAGGGAAGTTTATTATTTGGGTAGAAGCTAATTTTTGTCATTTTTTTTTACCACTCTGTAGTGATTAAACTCATACTCGAGTGACAATTCTATTGCATAGCAGCCAATATCTTTTGAAATCCTTGTGTTAGGAGCAATATTGGATAACAATATTAATTACTCAAATAGATGAAGAGAGGGAAGGAACTTCTCTATAGAGTAGCACATTATTTACTGAACATTAGTTGTCTCAATTTGTTAATAATTTAGAAAGCACAGAACTACCTATGCAAAGACTTAGAGACATACGTAGGTTAAAAATATGGCTTCCAGAAAACCTCCTGAAAATTATGCAGTTGATCCTCTTTGCTTTTCAATTTCCCCATCACAAGAGTGAGAATAGTTAGGAGGCTATATTATAGTTTATGTGTTTATGCAGGATAATAATTAAATTATCTAATGTGGTTCTTTTATTACCAAGTTGAAAATAAAATAGAATTTCATCCTGTGAGCTTAGACAAAATGTTTTATTCTCAAAAGGTCGGTCATGAATTTGGACAAGTTCTGTATTTCAGTGATAAATTTTAATTTTGGCCAGAGATTAAAGAAAAAAAGAACTACATAGTGAAAGAAAGTAGCAGAAAGAATAGCAGCATGGTGGAGAAAAAGAAGTAGGACATAAAAGACTGCAGTTCTATAATGACTGGGTGACCTGCCATTATCTAGTATTTCTGATTACTAGATTCCCCAATATAAAAGAAAGATTCTAATATGTGCACCATCCAAATACTTGCCTATTGTGGCTAGTTGAAATAATAAATGTGAAAATAAAGATTTATACAAATGTTAGTGAAATGCATTACTAATATTCATTTTATAATGGAGCTATTATACATTATTATGGTAACAAAGATAAATTGTTGCTAATATAATAATAGTATTCACAATAGTTTTACTTACAATAATGATAATAAAATCAGGACATCTTAATTATCACAACTCCACACTTATTTAGCAAAAGGAAAATGAGATGTAACTAGAATAAGTAGAAAGTAATTATTAACTTTTTCTTAATCATTGAAACAAATATTTGATAATTAAGCCACTTGCTTTTTGATGTTTTCAAAATCAGACTCTGTTGAAAAGCATATTCATAAAGAAAGTGAAGAATATTTGTTTTATTATTTTTGTCATTTGTCTTGGTTTCATTTTTGTTCATTTTAAGACTAAAGTTCAAGAGCAGGGTACAACATTGGGCGGTGCTGAACTGACCAGATTAGCTGCAGGAGAATGGCTAGTGCAGTACTGAGACATGGAGGGATCTTGGATTTGATTGATGACACTTGCCAAGACAGGCTGCCATATAAGGATGTTGCAATACCACTGAATGAGCTTCCTGAACCTGAAGAGTACAATGGCCTCATAGAATCTGTTAAAGAGCAAAAATTGAAGTGGACTGACTTAGCCTCATAGTAACTCCATGAGAATGTTCCCCGCCATAGAAAGCGAACAGGTGGCTCCTTTTTCATGCATGGAGATTTTTAAAACATTTTCTTCTAGTATCCCAATTCAGATCTTTCAGTGATATATTCACATCAAAGAATAGACACCCACTGAATTTGTGGTGGAAAAGTGCAATGTAAAAATAATCGCCAGAATGAGAAAAGGTTTAAGATTTCTCAGGAATGCAGAATAATTGGCCCCTGGAACCCAAATTTCTTTATTCATTAGCTTGTGTTTGAATGGAACTGGTTAAACATTTGCCTTACCTCTGATTTTGTTTTACTATCAGAGTTTAACACTTCCCAACTACTTATCCATGTCCTGTGACATGGATGATTGAAGATACAAGACAGAAAGGCCAAGATGCAAGATGGTTAATTTCTCATATGCCGCCACTCTGAGAAGCATTCTGAATGACAGTGTATAGGACCCACAGGATTATGGATAACCCATTCACTGATTGCTGGGCTTCCTAAGATTTCCCATGGTATTTCAAACTTTGGATAATTCCACAGATTAAAAGTTATCTGGCAGTTACCTCTGCTCTCCCCACAAGTTAATTTGGTGCCACTGGAAAAGATCTTTGGCTAGCTGTGCCACCAGTTTACCCAATAACAAGATTTCATATTTCTTTTTTTTAATGATTTTTTTAAGATTTTATTTATTTATTCATGATAGACATAGAGAGAGAGAGAGAGGCAGAGACACAGGCAGAGGGAGAAGCAGGCTCCATGCAGGGAGCCCCTTGTGGGACTTGATCCTGGGTCTCTAGGATCAGGCCCTGGGCTGAAGGCAGTGCTAAACTGGTGAGCCACCAGGTCTGCGCAAGATTTCATATTTCTTAAAGCCCTTTCAGATATAAGGGAAACACCACAACATCAGTATTTAGTTACATTTGAACCAGAACCTGCATTTTGGAAAACACATTCATGGACTTTTATCTCCTGGAATTATTTACCTCTGTTAAGTGGTATCTCTTGTTTTCTTATGTCCGTTGTGAACTTGGAATAAAGTCCCGGCTTGTCATTCTGCATCCTTCATTAAAAAACTAGACACACAGAAAAACAAATAAATAAAATAAAATTCGAGAGCAAACACCTTTTCTTTTTCAGCCCTCCTTTTTCTGCAGGCAGAGGCATACTGGTGTCAACTTTAATACAAATGTAGAAGGGATTTGTTTTATATAGCTTTGCTGCCAAATGTAGTGGATACAAAGCCTTTCCTTCTTGGTTCACTGCTTATGTATAATGCAAATGCTATGATAGCTCAGCAAGATATCATAAGGCATAACTGTCAGGTTGATTCAATTGATAGTATTTGTAATGTTGGATTTTCTTGCATTTGAAAGCATAGATGATGAGATGTTCAAAACATGGCTGAGTCAAGCAATCTCCCATAGAAATGGTTCTGTCAACGGTACCATGTGATTATTCCTCTAGTGTCACCTCACATAACCACCACCAAAATAAGCTTTCTAAACACATTTCATCCTGCCACTCTGCTGTTTAAGGAGCTACAATTGATCCATACTGCCTACCACTTCAAGTTATGAACCCATATTCCATTTATTTCTTGAGTCAAGAAATATTTATTGAGCTCCTACTACAGAGCAAAACCATCCTAGGGGCTAGAAATGCAGTGGTGAATAACACAAAAATATTTAACAGCCTTACATTCTATTTATCTCATTCTCTAGATTTTATACCTAGTATACCTATCTCAAATCTATTCTAGTTGTTTCACTGATTCTTTGTATATCCTGACTGCTCTCCACTTAGAAACTGTAGTTTGTTTTTTCAGTTCTCTGACTTTCAATAGCTTTTTTTTTTTCCAGCTTTATTGAGGGTGAAGGAAGGAAAAATTCTGCAATGACCCTTCAAGGCCTTCCAACTGGTCTAATAGTTACATTTGTATAAGGTAGATTAACATGAGGAAAAAATCCAAAGTTTTATTACGTGAGCACAGAGACCCAATAACGAAATTGAGAACTAAAGAAGTTGCCAAGGCAGGCAGTTTTTGTACATTTTAGACAAAGAGACAATAAATCTGTAAAGCTTTAATGGGACAAAGAAAACTCAACTTTACAAACATTGTATGGTCTCATTCATTTGGGGAATATAAATAATAGTGAAAGGGAATAAAGGGGAAAGGAGAAAAAATAAGTGGGAAATATCAGAAAGGGAGACAGAACATGGAAGACTCCTAACTCTGGGAAACAAACTAGGGGTGGTGGAAGGGGATGAGGGCAGGGGGTGGGTGGGGGTGACTGGGTGGCGGGAACTGAGGTGGGCACTTGACGGGATGAGCACTGGGTGTTATTCTGTATGTTGGCAAATTGAACACCAATAAAAAAGTAAATCTATTATTTAAAAAAAAGAAAGAAAACTCAACTTTATGAACTTCAATTACCAAGGATTTCTAAACAGAATTCGGGCTGGGGTGGTTAATTAGTAAAAAGTAGGAAGGTTATTTATACAGCTTCTCCCCTGAATTTCCTGTCTCTGGTGATAAGGTCTTTGTACCTCATTGTAAAGGAAAAGTACCTTCCACAAATGGAGATGATTTCTTGTTCTCCTGGGGGTTGAGGGCATTCTGAGTGTCTTTCTTGCACAGGCTACCTCTTAAGTAACTTTCATTTAAAATAATCTATATGCGCACATTTTGGGACATGCTAGGGCAGCACATTTTGCCCCTTGGCCCCTTCAAAGTATAACTGACAAGATTGTAATATATTTAATATGTATATCATGATTTAATATGTATATCATGATTATTTAATACCTCTCCATTAAGTTAATTAACACATCTGTCACCTCACGTATTTGTGTGTGAGAGAACACTTAAGTTCTCCTGTCTCAGCAAATTCCAAATATATGATAAATGTTATCAACTATAGTCACCATGTTATACATAAGATGAGACCTTATTCATGTTATAGATGAAAGTGCAGCCTTTTTACCAATCTCTCTATTTTATCCCACCACCCCTCAGCCCCTGGCAACCACCTTCTACTTCCTGTTTCTGTGAATTTGATTTTTTTTTTTTTTTAAGATTCTACATAGAAGTCATACCATGCAGTATTTGTCTTTCTGTGTCTGGGTTATTTCACTTACCTCAGTGCTCTCAAGGTGCATCTGTGTTGCTGCAAACAGAGGATGTCTTCCTTTCACATGGCTGAACGATATCTCATAGGAAGTTGGGTTTTGTTGTCATTAATCTTAGAGTTTTTGTTTGCTTCTTTTTAGTAAAGATTGAAAATCAGACTCAGAGGCCCCTATCCTAAATTACTGAACATAGAATAATGAGGGTGTAACTCAGCCTTGTTAAAGCACATGTGAATTTGGTTATTATGTTTCACTTATAAACATTCCCTTCTCACAAAAATTGCCCAGTGTACAGTTCTTCTGTTTTAACCTAAATGCATGGGGATTTTTGTTTTTTAAATAGAGTATGGAAATGTGTAAATACTCTTAATAAGAATGACTAGAGGAAACAACTTCTTTTTCAGAGTTTTGAATATGTCATTTTGGCATTTGGAAAAAAACAACAAGCAATTGTTTTGAAAAATGGAGTTCTGACCTAGTTCTGATATTTATGTTTTAGGAAAATTATTAAAGTATATTGCCACACAAAAATGAACATTTGCTTCTAGGCAACTTCAAAATACCCTTGAATTGCTAATGATAAAGTGAATTTTAAAATAGTCCTGGTGAATTCTGAATATAGTGCTATATTGAAAAGACCACATTTTCCAGTGTGATTAATGACCATTTTATAATCTTGATTGCATTTCTTTCTTTATGAGTAACATCTATTTCAAACTATGGCATAACTGGAACTTTCCTGTTGAATTCAGTCACTAGCTAGATATGAGCTTCAAAAGAAAGTAGAAAAGAGGCAAGAAAATAAAGAATGTTGTGGAGTTAATTTCCCATAGAATTCTTTATCGGTAGAAGATTGCCAGCCTAAAAGACATACTAACTTTCCTAATGCTCTGGTTCAAGAGTTTTATTCTATTGTGCTTTTAAAAACTTTCCTTGGAGCATTTATAGTACATTCCATCTTCAAAATAGTTTAAAACTGTCAACTAGCTAGTCCTCACAACACCCCTTTGAGGCAGGTAACCATTATTATTCCCATTTTACACTTGGGAAAAAAAAAAAAGAGTAAAATGGTTAAAAAAAAAGAGTGACTCAGCCAGAACCCTGAAGCTGAGTTCTAGCCTATTACACAGACCTATCCTCAATCAAAGTTTTCTTTTAATAGCTACCCTTATAATCATGTAGGCTTAGTTAATTCAAATATTCACTAAGTAGTAGCTGAGCAACACCCTAATACAACACTTAATTTCTGGATACATTTGAGCTCACATCCACAAAGTAATTTTAAGGTAATACACACTGGTGGGTTTGTGTAGGAGCAGAGGCATGTAGGTGTGCGTGTGTGTGCGCGACCCTGTGTCTGGAAGATGGTCATGGTGCAAAATGCACACAAATGATCATTCATAGCAATATGTCTTAGGGTGGTGCATAAACAAGATGAAATGATTCAAGAGGAGATCTCTTCTACCTAAAAATGATCAATGAAATTCTCAAAGAGCCGGTGCCATTCGGATACCTCATGGTTGGTAAAATCTTCCCCTTTTATCTTCAGTCCTACAACTCAAGATGCCTCACTCACTTCTCCCAACTATTCCATCTGCTGCTAAAGTCAATACCCCCTCAGTCCTTCTGATAAATCTGCCCCCAAATATTCTGACATCCGAACTTGGTCATATAGTTTTCCTTGTTTAAAATTCTTCAAAGGCCCATCAACACGGAATCTTTGTGAAAGACATATCTTCTTAAATAGCCTTGGTGATGTTTCTTATCACTTAGATTTAGAAAAATGAGCCTTGAAAGATACAGTCTAACTTATTTTTATCAAAGTAAGCTCCCTGTATTCTTTTTCTTTCTCTCTGGGTTCACTGG